ATCTCACCTACCTGTTATCAGCGTGTCACTTGGAATGTCTTCTATGATGCATTTCTCCTCACGTTCCCCCACGTGGAAATAAAAAGCAGTTGAAAGTGAAAAACAAAAACTTAAAAGGAAAGTTGACATTTGCATTTCTGTTGCTTGAGCTGCTCCTGGTAGAGCTTCCTTTGAAATGAATCAGTCGCAAGTGATATCGCTGTTTGAGTGTATTTCATTGAATGAGTTTGCAAATTGATTTTTGTGAGAAGCAGCATATGGTGGCTACACTTGGGCAGGTGACTGCAGCAAGTCCTAGGGAACAAGAGGCACCTGGACCTTGGGGCCTTTCCAAGCATGGTGACATCGGAACGCCTTCTGATGAGTTCCTTTGAAAGGATTTCGAGTGTTTTAATGGATGAATGATGGCGCAGGGCCTGGAGGGAACCGCCAAGTGCCGAGTCCAGCTGATACCCAGTGGCCAGGCTCCAACGGCCATCTTCCGGTGGTCTTCACCGCTTGGCTGGAGGTGGGGGGTAGAAAGGGAAGACTGTCCTGGGGCGAGAAATGAGAGAAGGGGGTGTAGCAGGGGGGGCATGGGTGTGTGCAGGGGGAGGGGGGCGGTGCAGGGTTGTCAAGAAAAGCGTGCCGGACACAGAGGTGGCGGCAAGAGCCTCGGCTTAGCTGAGGCCATGCCCTGAATGAACCCAAGTCTCAGCTTCCTCGTGAAAAAGGAATTACAGTCGCCAAGTGTGATCCACTGGGTCCTTTCAGTTCTGGCATCTGATGTATTTTTAAAACCTTTTATTTTGAAATATTTATTGACACAGAAGGTTGTAGAAACAATACAGAGAGGTCCCCTGTGCCCATCACCCGGCTCCCCCTAGTGGTGCCATCTCACCTGATCAAGAGGCCACATCACTGCATCATGGAAACAACTGGACTTTGCACTATTATCTTAGAGCATCTTTTAAAAAACACAGTTCGTTAATCTGTGTTTTCCTTGGGAGAGCCCGTACTTTTCTTTTGGGAGCCTTGTGATTATTTGTTGAACATTGGACGTTTGGGTCTAATAACGTAAGTCTGGAAATGAGCTTCTCCCCTTTCCTGGTGTTTGCCGTTTTGTATTATTGTTTTGTGATTGTTGTAGGCCATCTCGGTGTCAAGGACCATCTGAGGTGACAACAGGTCTTCTCAGGTCTTTTCTGAGATGTTCCCTGGGCACGCACAGTCACTTTCTAGTTTTCCTTGTATGTGCAGTTGTTTTTGAACGTCCTTGTCTTAAATGTTTAGCTTCCAAAAGGGAAGAAGGAGAAGAATTAAGGGGGAGTGGAGAGAAAGGGTGCCAGCCCTTTTCACCCTCTGGAAGTCACTTCAGCTGGGAGGGGCGGGGCTTGCAACAAGCGGGGAGCGACAACAATGACGCTCCCTACCTGTTTGTCTGCATGTCTGTTGTTAGAAGCAGCTGTCGCCCACCAGCTCGCAGATCCCTGATGTTTGCAGGAAAGGCCCTCTGCACGTAGCCTGGTCCCGGACCACGTGCGCAGCCGCC